GGAATTTTGATGTAGTTGAATAATGTTTTCCATTATAACGCTAGGGCATTACATCAAACTGAAATGTCTTCTCCAATACTTAAAGTTTTTCCATAGCTGCTTCAAGTATTTCAGTATTTTTACAAAAATATTTCAGGGCCTCCCTGGTGGTGCAAGGGGTTAAGTCTCAGCACTATCAAGTTATCACACTCGAGCATGAGTTCGATCCCCAGTCAGGGAGCTAACCCAAATGGCACAGCAGACCTCTCCTGTCACCTGCTGCTCCCCTCAGCAGTGTATTTCAGTAGATCTGCCTGTTCTGCTTCCCACTCTGTCTCTGGTGAATCCTCTCACCTCCTACCCCTGCACCTCTGGCCTACACCCCAGTTCTCCCAATTCTTGTATGCATAAATAAATAAAAATAAATTTAAAAAAAAATTCAATTTGGGCTTCATCTGGAGATTCTTCTGTTATAAGAGATAAAGAATGAATGTAATACCCCTTCTCTCTTACAGATTAAGCCTGCCCAGTTCTTTAAGACATGTTAAAATTTAGCCCAAGACTTGCAAAATTCTCTTTCAATCTCATTTAGCCTTGTGACTTGATTTAGAAAAACAACAATGGGTTAGTTACTAACCTGTATTCACTGTCCGTTCAAAAGGCTATTGTTTGAGTATTTTTAAAATCATTCATTTGTTCAACATGTGTTGGCACTGTTCTAGGCACTGGAGATACAAGAATGAATAGATGGGGGAGGAAAAGAGTAGATAACAGAGTAACTTTAGAAGAGATCAGTGTCATCAAGAAAATAGAAAATACTACAACTTAATAAGTTATTAAGTGCCCCGTCATAAAGAGGAAATAATATATTATTGTTACTTTTCTTCCCTTTCTGAAAGTTCAGGAAAAGTGTATCTAATTGTTGTTTAACAAATCACACACACCCCCCCACACCGGGGTTTAGTGGCTTAAATATCTCATACAGTATCTGTAGGTCAGATTTTGGGGAGCAGCTTATTTGGTGGTCCCAGTTTGGGATCTCTCAAGAAGCTGCCATCATCCAAACGTTCCACTGGGGCCAGAGGATATATGTCCAACATGGTTCACTCATATGATGTCAACTTGATGCTTGCTTTTGACAGAAGCCTATTTCTCACTGTGGAATCCTTCTAAAGCTGCTTGAATGTCCTCATACATGGCAGCTTTCTCACACAGGGTAAGTGATACAACTTAAGAGAGCAAAGGAGAAGCCATGCTATCTTTTATAACTTAACATTAGAAGATACTCACCATCATTTTCATAATAACCTAGTTTACACAGGTCAATCTTATTCAGTGTAAGAGATAACCACACAAAGGTGTAAATACCAGGAGATAATAATGATTCAGGACTATCTTGGTGGCTGACTACCACAACTACCACTTTGGTCAAATTGTCTAGAATTCCAGAGAGAAAAATAAAGCACTATGGGAGTTCAGTATTGTACTGATCTGAGTTAAGCAAAGTTGTCTAAGTTTGAACTCTATAAATCCCAAAAATGTTGTGTACAATTTTTATGAAGAGAAAATAATTTTCTTTTTTAAAAACAAAATAATTTTACATGTTAAAAGTCTATAAAACCATATACAGATACTAATTTGTAAACATACATTTCCATGCTTCCCTGCTACTTTAACTGCTTGAATAAAATCTGGAATGAAATATCCTGCATCACCACATATAAACTGATAGTTCATGCTTTAAGGCACATTTCAACTACTTCATGCACCATTCACAGTGTGTCAGTTTTGCTCTTAGGCTGGCTTTCTTCAAGCCAAGATGGCTGATGCAGTCACAGACATTGTTCAGTGGCAGAAAAAAGGGACCATTTCTTTTGGTAATCTCCTCAAGAACAAGAAAATATTTCCAAACAGCTAATGAGACTACCCTTTACACCAATTTAGACTAAAATGGGCATACATGTTTATCATTTAAACAGTAGCCCAGGTCAGAAGAGTTTTACCCTTCAAACTAGAAGTGGGTTTACTTTTTCTTGATCACATAGGGGAAGAGATAGGATACTGAGCAAGATGATTCTGTTTGCAAAGAGCATACTGGAAGGGGAATAGAAAGCAAATATGCAAACAAAAGGAGTTGCTTCAGCTCTTAGACATTTTGTTTTGTAGTAATCTATAAATCCCTTTTTCTCATCATTTTTAAGTTCTTGGAAAAAATGAGCCTATACAGCTTATACATCTTCAAGCTTATCAGCACTTGCCCAGTATCTTGCATGTTTATAGACATTCACTATTTAACTTGGATTTTAAAATTCCCCAAAGAGAATTTCAAAATAAATGTTTATGAAATTATTTATACTTTGGATTTATAAAATATTTGCTTCTAAAACACTAAGAGAATCCATGAACACTTAATTTTATACTTACTTTGATATTCTAGGAGCTAGAGGGGAAGAATTGCTGTGCAATATCGAAGTCTAACAGTCAACAGTTAAGATAATATATATTTTTTCTGAATCCCAGTCCAGAGCTATTTACATTTGTTCATATTGCCTTAAAAAAAAACTACTCCTTTGTTAACCAAAATATTCAAATAACTCATTTTTACATGTAAATATTATTACTGATCATGATTCCTTCTCCCCCCCACCCCATTATAAAATTGTTTTTGTCTGGAAGTCATAATCTGCAGACTGATAGGAAATAAAATGTGAAGGTTATGAGCTAGAAACATTTCAACCCTAAAGTACAAGGTTCTTCCTGCAAACAAGGCTAGAGTTGGCGTCACAATGCAATTTTATTAGACCTTTCAAAGAGATGAATGTGTATTTTGTTTCCAAATTTAATATCTATTTGTTCATTTTTTTCTCTTGGTCTTTTCAGCTGGACTGAAAACAGTATATCTGAAATTAAGAGAACATTATGTCCTTGTAATTATACTAATCGTACTTAATTAACTAAAGTTACCCCTTCAACTATACGTAACTGCTATTTACAATACAGGGAAACTACCACACAATCTGGAAAATTTTAATTTAATCCTTTGAGGTGGTCAATGTAGGTCTCTGTTCTCCACATGACCACCCATGTTCATTCTCTTAAAGACGTAACATCGGGGTGCCCGATTGCCCTCAGTTTTAATTTAATCCTTTGAGGTAATGTAGGTCTCTGTTCTCCACATGACCATGTTCATTGAGCTCGCACATCTGAATTTAGTCTGCACATCTGCTTGCTAGATGCTAAGTGCTTTATGGTTAAAGGTTGGACCTTTTCATACCTGTGCTTCAATGTCTAATGCATAGCAGAGCTTAATATGCATTTGTTGAATGAATACTCTTTTGGCATCTAGGAGTTAGTGGTAAAGAATTAAGACTTCGCTCTTGAAAAATTAGTAGTCCATATCTTTTCTTGAAATAAGGACTCTTATGGGGCCTCCCTGGTGGTGCAAGGGGTTAATTCTCAGTACTATGAAGCTATCCATAGTCACTGCAGTATGAATTGGATCCCCTGCCAGTGAGCTACCCACATGGCACAGCAGACCTCTCCAGTCTGGACCATTGCTCCCCTCAGCAGTGTATTTCAGTCAATCTGCCCGTTCTGCTCCCACTCCCCACTCTGCCCCCGTTGAATCTTCTCACACTCCTCACTACCCCCACTCCTTCCTCCCCGCATCTCTGGCCTATACCCCAGCTCTTGTGTGCATAAATAAATAATTTTTAATTTTTTAAAAAAAGAAATATGGACTCTTACTTAAAGGCAAACCAACACTCAGCTGACAAACCCCCTTGAACAAAGTTCCTAGACAATTACTTAGCTTCAGACCCACTTAATCTCACCAACCTCTCCTTTAGGCCTCTCTTCCTTGGATGCTGTTTTCAACATGACTCTAATCTCAGCATTCTCAATACAATCTTCATTTAGGGACACCTGAAGGTTTTCTTCTTTTGGAAATCATCCTACTGTATACACTCATTACCCTTTGAACTATCTTCCCTTCTGATAACCTAAAGTCTCTCTCATTGTAAATCAGATTTAAGGTTTCTTTTTTTAAAAAAAATATTTATTTATGCATATAAGAACTGGGGTACAAGCCAGAGGTGAGGGGGCAGACTGGATTCACCAAAATCAGAGTGAGGAACAGAACAGGCATACAGACTGAAATACACTGCTGAGGGGAGAAGCGGTCAAGTCAGGAGAGGTCTGCTGCACCATGTGGGTAGCTCCCTGGCCAGCAGGGATGGAATTTGTGCTGCAGAGCCTTGAGGGTAGCTTCATAGTGCTTGGGCTTAACCCCTTGTGCCTCCAGGTAGGATTTAAGGTGTCTAAGCTGGAAAAAAAAATAAAAAACACAACTTGGCTCAAACGGCCATGAGTCATAATTTAAAAGAATATTGAAAACTTGCAAAAACTTGTAATTCCGTATGTCGTAAAATTCCCAGGAGACATTTATTTTGTCCTCCTGCTTCTGACTTGGAAAAATTACGATCTAAGGCACAAAACCAAAAAATCTCTCCATCTGAGATAATAGTCACCTGCACCTATTAAAAACTCGATAACGGACAGCCCCACTCTGATTTGAAGTTGGGTTGATTTCACGCCACGTCCGTGGTATTTTCCCAGAGAGCTGATTATGTTTTCTACTTTGCAAGCGTATTTAGGGTCAGAATTATGCTTTTCTGGGTACGTGCTTGCACAAGGATTTATTGAAACGCTTGCCATCGTTAAAGACCTGTCCTTCCAGCGTGACCGACACAAACCCAAGGAAATGCACTAACGTGTTACGCAGCTCTTACACACCTTTGCAGCTACGGACTCTAGCGAAGCCACTCCGGTTCCCAAACGTCTAGGCGTCCACAGCCTGCACAGCGCCGCCCGCTGTTTCCCCGCCCGCCTCCCTCCCTCCCTAGGTTCCTCTTCCGGACTCCCCCCTATTCTCCCGCCATGCTCTGCGCGGCCGCCTGCTGTTTCGTCAAACAAGCCACTCCCCGGCGCGCGCACGAAGCGCGCAGCTCCGCCCGCCCCGCGCCGGCAGCCATCCCCTACATCCGGGTACCGACCCCAGCCGTTCGGACTCTGGCACTATGGTCATGGCGGAGGGGACGGCAGTGTTGAGGCGGAACAGGCCGGGTACCAAGGCACAGGTACTGTCTCTTCGCTTTACGTGGGGGGGGGGGTTCTCGGTGCCACGTCGCACCGCGCCTGGAAGCTTGTTGCCCCCGAGAGGCGGTTGGGCCGGCCCTGGGCGGCCGACACTGACGTCCGGCCTGTTCTTCCGGAGCCGCTCCTGAGCCTGGTTGAGGCGGCGGCCCGCGAGGCCTACGGAGCCCGGACCGAGGGTGGGCGTGAGGAGACCGGTGGGGGCCGCGGCGGCAGACGCCTAGGCCTGACAGCCTGTCACCGGGGACTGCTGGTTCTTCGCCCGCCGCTGAGTCCCAGCCGACCGGCGGGCGGCGGCCGCGGCCTGTCAGGCGGCGACCCCAGGGGCTTCTCGAGGGTCGGGACTGCCGGGTGAGGGGGTGCAGGTGCCGGCCGCCTCGTCCGGGGTTCCGGTGCCTACCTGACTGGGCCGTGCCCGCCCGGCTTCTGCCGTCCAGCTTGTCTAACCGGATCCGGTGGCGATAATTTACTTTATCCTCTTCCTGCTGTTTGCTTTTGCCCACGGATCGCTGCAGCTGTTCCCTGGTCCAGCAAGTTTTCATCATCAAGTTGCGACTTGTTACATGTCATTTCTTGTGAATTTCCGTGTAGGCACAGGCAAGGAACGGACTGTTTATAATTTTGTTAACTTTAGCTAGGCACTATTTGAGAGTGAGTTGGTGCATGTTTGTAGGCATTGGTTCTTGGAATTTGCAAAGCCTCAGTCTTTTTTTTTTAGTTTTTTATTTTATTTTAAGCTCTATTTATTTATTTATACAAGCACTGGGTACAGTCAGAAGTGCGGGAGGGTGAGAGAATTCACTGGAGCCAGAGCGGGGAGCAGAACAGGCAGACTGACGAAGTACACTGCTGAGGGGAGCAGCGGGCGCGGGAGGAGAGGTCTGAGCGCCATGTGGGACCCTCGCCCTGCCGGGGATTGAACCGGCGCTGCAGAGGCTGCGGGCAGCTTTGCAACCCAGCGTTCAACCGCTGCGCCACCAGGCTGGACTCACATTTTTCACATAATCGAAGAGGCTTTTAGACTTGATCTGATTAATAGCCCAACTGAAATGGCTTAATGAGTAGGTGCTCTAAAGAAAAGAGGTGTTAAAATGTAATCTTACCCAAAAATACATTCAGAAATGGATCTTTAGATTCACAGTCTGAGAATTATCCGTGTTTATTGACCCCAAATTTCCTGTTTTTGAAAGGTTTGAAAAATACTTTAAGTCAGTATTGCAGCACTACTGTGTGCTCTGTGTTGTTATGAGTAAGTCACACATAAGAAAGTTCCTTGCTTTTTTCCACATTGTTGTAGATTTGAATTTGTTAAATAATATGAGCAGAAAAGTTTGTTAAATGATATTTCAAATTTAAATAATTTGAAAAATTGTTATGCAGTAGTCTGTTCTCACCTTTGTCTAATTTCCTCAGTGAAATGGGTCTATTCTAAAATGGTTTATTTAGAATTAGACTAGGTGGCATATCTTCCTAACGTTCTTTAATTGGTTAAATCGGGATATAGGTACATAGTTTGTTTTCAGTTAGTGTTGTCTGAATTACCTGAGAGTGTTCATTAAGCCAGATTTTTTTGTTCCTTTTATAAATGTTTTAAATGTATTCCAGTTATGATGAGGCAAAATTTTAGTTTCCATTGAACTTTTTGTCTTTTCTATGTATTTCTAGAGTATCTGTTTTCTAGTATTTTAAAAATAAAATATTCTGCAAATTTTCCTTTTTTAAAAAAAAAGAAAGGTAAAACAGATTGATAGAAACATTTTTAAGTATAAGTCATATAGGACGAATTTTTGAACTACTCTTTAATAATGTTTAGTTCATGTTTAGGAAGAGGCATCCTGGAACAATTTCCAGAAAGTTTTTTCCTCTCTTTTTTTTTCATGTTTAATAAAGTAGTTCTTGATGTCTGTTTCTCCCCCCACATCCCTTCTTTGTTTCTCCGCTCTGCAAAATTTTGTTTCACTTGATAATATATCATGATCTCTTTTAGTGTATATACACCTGCATTTGTTTCCTGTGACTGCTGTAAAATTACTACCAATTTAGTGACTTAAAACAACACAAACGTATTTTCTTACAGTTCTGGAAGTCAGGAGTCCAAAATCAGAAAATAGTTTCACTGGGCTACAGTTAAAGCTAAAGTTGGCAGAGTTACTCCCTTCTGGAGGCTTTGAACTTTTAGTGATTGCCTTTATTCGTTGGCTTGTGGAGATTTCCTCCATTTCCAAGTGTGTCATTGCAGTCTCTGTTTCCATTGTCTTGTCACCTCTAAAATTAGTTTATCTCATTCCTATAGGGTAACTATAAAAAAAGATATGAAATGTCTACCTACCTTCAGAGCTAAGATGTTACAAACATAGTTGAGTCCCTCTATATCACACTTTTATCCTCTACTTACTTTAGTAATGCTTGGTTATTATTTATTTTCTTTATACTTTTACTACATATTCATTATATTCTAAGTATGCTTTTGTACTTACTTAAACATTTGTTCATGTGCTATCACATTAACATCTATCATATAACATGCTATCATATAATGAACTCATAAACTGAATTCTCCAATTCACTTTTTTTCCCCCCAAAGTATTTGGAGACGTGCCTGTATTGATTGATACAGGTTTATTGAACATTAGTTTACTTATGCTTTTTCCTCACAGTTTTACCCTGGAGACATTCATTGTCAGGCAACGTGCTGCCTACTAAAGATATGTAGATAAACTTTGCTGAAAAATTATTCAAATTGGGAAGGTTCTTAATCACATAGGGGAATATCTGTGAACTGGACTGTAGAAAGGAATTCAAAATCAGTTCAAGAAGACCCACAAAAATGTTCTTTTTAAAAGAAGGTTGTTCTGTTTGGTTCTGTTCTTTTTGATGAAATTTATATTTGGCTTTAAAAATTTAGAGCGCCTTTTGGCATTAGAATAATAATTTATAACCTGTCTAAAATAATAATTGAGGAGTAAATTAATTACTAATACTAGCTGGTCTCTTTGGGTAAGTATATTCAGTAATTTTTGTGCCTGTTTTTTTTTTTATTTTTTAAGTATAATTCTTTAAGTAAGATTTAACCACTATGAACAGAAAAATGACTGACTTATCTGCCCAATTGATGCTTGAAAGACTTAATGGGAGTCATTTGAGGGATTTGTGGTTAAAAAACCAAAATATAATTCAGTTAAATGAATTTTTAGTGACATTTAAAAACAGTAAATTGCCTTTAAGTTATTTTATTGATAATCACATCATTTACAATATGATACCTTTTCTTCTAGTGTAACATTGGATCTTTTTTAAGAATTGAAGTTAATCATAATAACTTTGAATCTCTTAGTTCCTTTATGCGTGCTTTAACAATGAGTTTTTTTTATAGGATTTCTATAATTGGCCTGATGAATCCTTTGATGAAATGGACAGTACGCTAGCTGTGCAGCAGGTAATAACAGTAGTTTCTTTTGCACCTCCCAATAACCTAAGCATTTTACCTCCCTTGAATAGGAAGGATTCCTGTATCTTTTAGCACAAACCAGAAACCATGGAATTAGTGGAATTCCCATTAAAATTCAACCCTCTTTTTGAGATATTAAACTATAATCAGATTTAACATCTATTAATATATGCCATAGTAGAGTGCCCAATTTTATTTTACAGTTACTTTAATTAAAATTTAATTGAATGGGGGGGCCTTCCTGGTGGTACAGCGGTTAAAGTCTTAGCACTATCAAGCTATCACCAGCCACTTAGGGATAAGTTATATCCCCATTCAGGTAGCTAACCCACATGGCATGGCAGACCTCTCCTGTCTCACCCGCTGCTCCCCTCAGCAGTGTATTTCAGTGGATCTGCCCGTTCTGCTCTCCACTCTATCTCTGGTGAATCCTCTCTCTCTCTCTCTCTCTCTGTCTCTCTCTCTCTCTCTCTCTCTCTCTCTCTCTCTCTCTCTCTCTCTCTCTCTCTCACCCGGACTTCCCAACCCCCCCACACCCTAGTTATTCTATGCATAAATAAATAAACAAGTTGAATGCTAAATTAGAATAACAGATAATTAAATAAAAATAAACAGAGTACTCATTTAGTGACTGAACACTTGATAAGATGTATCTAAGTTTAGTGTCTTTAGTTAGGGTTTTTTTTTTTTTTTGTCTTTATTTTTTGACTTTCTGTTAGTGATTTTTTTCCTTTTTATTAAGGTAACATTAATTTACACAACTATATAGGTTTTCTGTGCATAATTTTTTTTTAGATTTTTTAAAAAAGATTGATTTATTTATTTATACAAGAACCGGGGTACAGGTCAGACATGCGGGAGGGTGAGAGGACTCACCAGAGACAGAGCGGGGGACAGAACAGGCAGACTGACGAAATACACTGCTGAGGGGAGCAATGGGCATGACAGGAGAGGTCTGCCACGCCATGTGGGACCCTCGCCAGCCAGCCGGGGTGCGGATTGCTTCATAGTGCGGAGCTTAACCCCTTGTGCCATCAGGGAGGCCCTGGCAGGAGATTCTTTTAAGAAGATTGTTACATATTCTTAGGTCATTCATACTTTCTTTTTAAAAAGATTTATTTTATTTATACAAGAGCTGGGGTACAGGCCAGCATAGCGGGAGGGTGAGAGGATTCGCCAGAGTCAGAGCAGGGAGCAGAACAGGCAGACAGACCGAAAGCACTGCTGAGGGGAGCAGCGGGCAAGACAGGAGAGATCTGCCTCGCCATGCGGGATTCTCCCTGGCCGGCTGGGAATTGAGCTGGTGCTACAGAGCCTGGCGGACAGGTTCACGGCGCTGCACTCAACCCACTGCGCCACCAGGGAGGCCCTGACTCATACTTTTTTTTTTTTTTGAAAGATTTGTTTATTTATGCATGCAAGAGCTGGAGTACAGGCCAGAGATTGGCGTGGGGGTGGGGGGGGGGGAATGAGAGTATTCACCAGAGACAGAGTGGGAAACAGAACAGGCAGACTGACTGTTAAGCTATCACCAGCCACTGCAGCATGAATTCATTCGAGTCCTAGTGAGGGAGCTACCCACATGGCATGGCAGACCTTTCTTGTCTCGCCCACTGCTCCCCACAGCAGTGTATTTCAGTAGATCCACCTGTTCTGCTCTCCACTCTGTCTTTGGTGAATCCTCTCATTCCCCACACCTCTGGCCTACACTCCAGTTCTTGTATGCATAAAGAAATAAAATAAATCTTAAAGAAAATCCCATCATGCAGTATTGTATGTTTTGCCTTTATCTGCCAAATATTTTCAGTTACTCAATATGAGAATGGTCTGTTAACTCCAGATGTTCCTCATTTCTGATGCTCTTAAGTTTCCTTCAGTCATTATTTTTTCCTTTTGTTTAAAGAACTTCAGCATTTCTTTTTATTTTTTTATTATTATATTTTTTAATGTCTGTGCCTTTACTGCTGTGCAGGCCACTTAAGGGTGATGGAGCAGGAGGAGAGGGTGTCCCCTATGCGGTGTCTGCTGTGTTTTACTGGTTTGTAGGTGATAGAGAACTTGCCCCAATTAGTGGCCAATCACCTTAGACTTGATTTCCACCTGATTGCAGTGGTAGATGTCTACCATGCTGCTACTCATCTTAGGCAGGATGAACATATACTGCAGGTACATCTCTACCACCTTTGGCTTCTCTGTGGGCTGAACCCCCTTCTTGATCTTGTGCAGGCACTTCAGCAGAGAATGGTTCTTCCACCACAGACCCCTGTTCAACCACCATTTTGCAGGCACTTTTCAGCAGCATCAGCTATTTGTACATGTCTAGCAGTGGTTCCAGGTGACCTTAGGTCACTTGCAGATCTGCTTCTTTTCTTGCTTTTCTTCAGCCATTTCCTTGATTCTTCAGAAAGTGCCACTTGGCTAGGAATCCTGTTTAGTTTTCTTTTATCTAGAAATGTCTTTATCTTCATTTTTTTTAAATGATTTATTTATTTATACAAGATCCGGGGTACAGACCAGATGTGTGGGAGGGTGAGAGGATTCACCAGAGACAGAGTGGGGAACAGAACAGGCAGACTGACGAAGTACACTGCTGAGGGGAGCAGCGGGCGAGACAGGAGAGGTCTGCCACACCATGTGGGATTCTCCCGGCCAGCCGGGATCAAACCTCTGCAGACAGCTTCACAGTGCAGTGCTCAACCGCCTGCGCCACCAGGGAGGCCCTTTATCTTCATTCTTGATGAACTTTTTTATTAAGATAAAAAATTCTAGGTTCGTCTCTTTGTAAATGTGCCATTTTCTCCTCCTCTGCTTTCTATTGAAAAATTAGAAGTCATTTGAATCCTTATTCTATGTGTCTTTTTTTTCTGGTTGTTTCTTTAATTTTGGCAGTTTGACTATGTTTCTGGACATGGATTTATTTGATATTCCTACTTGTTCACTTACCTTGTTTTTCTTACTGTGGTGAAATATACTGTAGCGGTAGGAATGGGCAGAGCAGGTTGTCTATGATTGGAGCAGATGGCGCAAAGGATGAGTGAGTCCTGGAGCCCTCTGTGGCTTTTGCAAGCTTTTATTGGGATTTACCAGGTACACGGCAGACTGGCAGGTCTCCCAGCCCCCTGTGAATCTTCACTCTTTCTGGGCTCTCCAGCGTTCTCTGGTGGCCTCTGCTTCTCTTTCTCTCTGCTGGCGTCCCCTTGACGCTGCCCTCTCAGCCCAGGTGAACCCACCTATGTATGTATGCCCACACCCTATTCCAGGTGCCCGCCATCAGGCATGCATTCAGGACACAGGGTTCCATCATCAATCCTAATGGCGGGAGGGCAGAAAAGCCTGATTATTTACCCCGCATATTACATAACATAAACTTTACCACTTTTTTTTTTTAAAGATTTTTATTTATTTGTTTATTCATCCATTTATTTATTTATTTATACAAGCAAGGGGTACAGTCAGAAGCATGGGAGGGTGAGAGAATTAGCCAGAGCGGGGAGCAGAGCAGGCAGAAGGACGAAGTACACTGCTGAGGGGAGCAGCGGGCGGCAGGAGAGGTCTGCGCGCCATGTGGGACCCTCCTCCCGTGGCTGGGGAGCAGCCAGGGATCGAACCGGCGCTGCAGGGGCTGCGGGCAGCTTCGCAACCCAGCGCTCAACCGCTGCGCCACCGGGGAGGCCCAACTTTACCACTTTTGAATGTACCTTCTGTAGCATTAAATACATTCATATTGTTGTACAACCATCATTACTTTTTTTTTTTTTTTTTTTTGGTGGGACCCTCACCAGTGGTGGGGATCGCACTGGTGCTGCAGAGGCTGCGGGCAGCCTCGCAACCCAGCGCTCAACCACTGCACCACCAGTGGAGGCCCAGCCATCATTACTTCTATCTTTGGATCTTTTCATCTTCCCCAAATGAAATTCTGTATCCATTAAACGATGATAACTCTTTATTATCCCTCTACCCCAACTCACTCAGCTTCTTGAAGTTGTAGATTTAGATTTTTCTCAAACATGGCAGCTTTTTGGTCATTTGTTTATTCAGATATATTTTTTAGTATCACATTCTTTTTTTTTCCTTTCTGTTTTTCTGGTGACATGACTTTAAAACCTTTATTATTGGTTCTGAGACTATTACTATTTTAAAAGTTTTTAAAAAAATTTTATAATAGCTGCTTTGATGTCATCAGATAATTTCAACATCTGTGACATTTTGTTATTGGGGTCTTGTTTGTGTTTTCCCATGAGAATTGAGATTTTCATGTACTTGTATACCAGGTGATTTGGAATTGTACCCTGGATGTTTTGATGATGTTAGAACTGTTCTTGTTTAAACCTATGGTGAATGTTGTTTTTTTTTTTTTTTTTTTTAAATTATTTTTATACATATAAGAACTGGGGTATAAGTCAGAGATGCCGGGGGTGAGAGGATTCACCAGAGACAGAGTGGAGAGCAGAACAGGTGGATCTACTGAAATACACTGCTGAGGGGAGCAGCAGACAACACAGGAGAGGTCTGCTGCGCCATGTGGGTTAGCTCCCTGTCTGGGGATCGAACTCATGCTGCAGTGGCTGGCAATATTTGATAGTGCTGAAACTTTAACCCCTGTGCCACCAGGGAGATCCTGATACTTTGTTTTAACAGGCATTTCACTTGGTTGGTGACAGACTGTGCATCCCAACTGACTTGTGATTGCAATGTTGGTTCAGTTTTCAAAGCCTTTGCACTAGTACTTGACTCTGTTGTGTATGTACCAACCTGTGGTCAGCCAAGGGGGAGTAATGTCCATTAGCTCCTGTCTCAAAAGCACTAATTAGGGTGCTAATTAACAGTGTACTAAGTAGGGTGCTAACTAGCAGTGTCCTAATTAGGATCAATTCCATGCATGCATGCATAAATTAGGGTTGAGCCCAAGAGTTCATCAGTAGCTTTATGGGTCACTTTCCTGAATTCTTGTTCTCTCTCTCTGGTTTCTGGTTCCCTGGGACCCACCTCTTTGGTCCTCTGGCCAGAAACCACTTACAAGAATTGTGCCACAGTTTTTGGAAGGCAATGAGAGAAAAAGAAACAAGGTTTGAGTCCACCACCAAGTAGAGAGGAAGGAATTCGTTAGCATTTTTGCTCCTGTATTTTTATCTTCCTAGCTGATTTTGCTGCCACTGTGGAATTGTCTCAGACTTAGGTTGTGAAAGAATGGAGGAGAGGAGAGAAAATAAAACTAGGAAATTTCTCTGTTTACTTTGAGCTTGAGGAGTTCCTTTTCCACTCCTTGAACTAAAACTAAGTTGTTTCTCCTGGATATGTATATTGACACCAGTGGTGTTCATTTCTTGGTTTCATCCTGTACTGAATTCAGGCCAAGGGATTCCAGACAGGAAAAGAAATACAGCAAACTCATTGTCAGTTCAGTCGTACTTTGAACTCAGTGATCTTTCCTGGTCATCCTTCTGATATTTACTTTTTAAATACTGAAGTAGCTGCACAATGCAGTCTGTCCAGGTTTTATTTATTTATTTTTTAAAAGATTTATTTATTTATGAATGTAAGAACTGGGGTACAGGCCAGAGGTGGGGGGGTGAGAGGTTTCACCAGGGACAGAGTGAGGAACAGAACAGACAGACTGACTGAAATACACTGCTGAGGGGAGCAGCAGGCGAGTCAGGGGAGGTCTGCTGCACCATGTGGGTAGCTCCCTGGCCGGGGATTGAACTTGTGATGCAGAGACTGTGGATAGCGTCATAGTGCTGTTGTGCTTAACCCTCACCCCACCAGGGAGGCCCCTGTCCAGGTTTTATAGTTTTGTTTGGGAGAGAAAAACTGATGTTTATTTGCTGCATGAAATTGGACACAGTAAATTGCTTTTGCATGATGACCTATTGCTATGTAGTTATTTCAAATGTTTTCTAAAAATGACATTAGGAAAAGTCATTTTTTTCTGTACTAGATCATCATAATTATTAATAATTATAGCACACAGGAATAAATTACTAGAAAGATATTTCTGCCTTTTTCATGAAAAAAAGACAACATTTTGGGCCTCCCTGGTGGCCTAAGAGTTAATTCTCAGTGCCAGTACTACTCCAGCCCGCTGCCATAGCCTGAGTTTGATCCTCGGCCAGGGAGCTAACCCACATATGGCGCAGCAGACCACTTCTGTCTTGCCCGCTGCTCCCCTTAGCAGTGTGTTTCAGTAAATCAACCTGCTCTGCTCCCCACTCTGTCTCTAGTGAATCCTTTCACCCACTATACCTCTGGCCTACATCCCAGTTCTTCTATGCAAAAATAAATAAATAAAATCTTTTTTTTAAAAAGACAAAATTTCATGGTTTCTTTTGACATAATCTAAAATCTGGCATAATATATTCTTGTGTTAAGGAGATTTGAAAGGTCTGGGAAGTGAGTATATACTGCTAGAAACCCTGAAATGGGCGGCCTCCCTGGTGGCACAAGGGCTTAAGTCTCAGCACTATCAAGCTAGCAGCAGCCACTGCAGCACAAGTTCAATCCCCGGCCAGGGAGGTGGCCCACGTGGCCCAGCAGACCTCTCCTGTCTTACCCACTGCTCCCCTCAGCAGTGTATTTCATTAGATCTGCCTGTTCTGCTCCCCACTCTCTCTGGTGAATCCTCTCACTCCCTACATCTTTGGCCTACACACCAGGTCTTGTATAAAATGAACAATGATGTAAAAAAAATTTAAAAAAATAGATAGATAGATAGATAGATAGATAGATACCCTGAAATGTTATATGGTAGACACAGTTCAGAAACCAAAATGACATTGATTTACTTCTAAGTTAAGGATTGCTGTTTTTTTTTTAATTTTTTATTTTTTAAGATTTATTTATCTTAAAAAAGCACACAAGAGCTGGGGTTCAGGTCAGAGATGCAGGGCATGAAAGGATTCAGCAAAGACAGAGTGGGGTACAGAACAGGCAGACTGACTGAAATACACTGCTGAGGGGAGCTGCAGGCGAGACAGGAGAGGTCTGCCTCGCCATGTGGGTTGCTCCCTGGCCTGCCAGGGATTGAACTTGTGCTACAGAGGCTGCGGATTGCTTCCTAGTGTGGTGCTTAAACACTTGTGCCACCAGGGAGGCCATTTTTTTTTTTTATGTGTTTTATTAACTGTCATTAGAAAAGAATCTAGATTAGTTAAATATTGGTAATTTCTCACTCCACTTGTAACAAATTATTAATTATATAAGTTCACTTGTTAAGCATGTTATATAGCTTTATTAAAGAATTGTTATTGTTTTATTCTGATTGCTCTAGCTGATTCATATTAATGTGTTCATATGTTCTACATAATCATTTTATTTACACTATTTTATGTTGATATGAAACTAATGATTTATAGTATCTCTCTCAGGTCTAATCCTGGTAAATACTTTATGTGCATTATTGTAGTAGACTATCCCAGAAAAGTTGAATTGGAGAAGAATAGCTAAGGATTACCCCCTTTCTTCTGAGTTACTGATTATGATTCTATACTTCGTTTCCTATTTTGTGTGTAACCTTGAAGTTGAACCTTAGGAGTTATTATATTGTCTTTGTTTATAGTATATTCAACAGAACATAAGAGCAGATTGTTCCAATATTGACAAAATTCTTGAACCACCTGAAGGCCAGGATGAAGGTGTATGGAAGTATGAACATTTGAGGTAGGTCCTTATATCAAAATTGTAATAGTACTTCTGTTAAAAATAGCCTATATGTTAATAAACAATTATGAATCATAAATAAAATTTGTAACCACAGACCAAAGAGCCAAATCTAAAGCTTTTGTCTTTTTAACTTAAAAAAATTTTCAATTTTGTTCTTTATTGATTGTTTTCTACCTTTATGAATTTGGGCTTTGTTACTTTTAAAGAAGAGTTTTCTTTAATCCTTAATCATTAATGTATTATTTCCATTTACCCACTCATGAATAGCTATATTGTTAGAGAGGATCAACACCAGGTCCCAATGTAGCCCTGGTAGGTGATGAGTTAGTTACCCATTAACTATCGTGAGCTTCCACTCTTCCCTTTGGTAAATAGAGATTATAATCCTGAAATAAGGGATTTTGGAGCTCTTCATAGTATCTTTTGAATGAGAAATTGATGACTAGTACATAGAGTTAACTTTAGAAGCAAATATATCCTGAAGCTACTAGATGTTTCTTGAAGGTACAAATTTTTTAATGTAAATGGGAACTGATGAGTTGATAGATTACATAATAGCAAATGCAGTATGAGATATATGTTGTTGGCTTTTACGTTGCTTTTTCAGTAGTAAGTGGAGTAGAATAATGGCTTTTCCTGAATAAATTAGATCACATTTCCTGTGATGACTTCCTCAACTTTTAAACAAAGCACTTTTTTTTTTTGGTGCTGCGGGCCTGTCTATATATTCCTAAGACATAATGTCATAACATTTCAGCTCTTTCAGGATACTAAGACTTCTTTGTATTCTAGGAGTTTCTTTGAAGTCACTTAACACTTGTTTGAATTTTTTAAAAATATATGTTAATATATGATAATGGAAAGTATGAGGATATTTTCCCCTTTTTATTTTATTTTTTTTCCCCTCTCCGCTTGCATTTTTATTTTTTTATAACTTTTTAAAGATTCATTTTTTAAAAAAAAATATTTATGCATACAAGAACTGGGGTACAGGCCAGAGGTGTGGGTGGTTAGAGGATTCACCAGAGACAGAATGGGGAACAGAACAGGCAGACTGACTGAAATACACTGCTGAGGGGAGCAGCGGGCGAGTCAGGAGAAATCTGCTGCGTCATGTGTGTCACCTCTCTGGTCGGGGATCAAACTCATGCTGCAGTGGATATGGGTAGCTTCATAGAGCTGCGTTCTAACTCCTTGCACCACCAGGGAGCCCTATATATGCCTTTAGAGTCAGATCAACCCTGGGTTTGCACTCCAGCTGTGCTACACTCTACTGTGTGTCATTGAGCTCATCACCAATCTTTCTGATCCTTCTGTTTCTCTTCCATAAATCAGATATGGTTCTAATAATATCAGTGAATTGGTGGATGTAAAGATCCTGGCACAGACTTTGGACCACAGTAGATGGTCAATAAATGTTTCCTTATTTCTTCCCTAATTACTTCTGTGAATTTTGTGAGAAAACAAAAAGAAGTCTCTCTTTGGGTGTTGTTTAAGGGAGAGGGGCTTGGTATGATAACAGACCATAAAGAAGAGGCTGGCTTTCCAATAACAGATCTTATTAATTAACTAAAACAGAAAAGTAACTGATTCATGTAGTATTTTCAGTGTACTGAGTATTTTCCATCTAAATTTACCTTTGTTCTTATGATGTTACTAAATAATTGCTGTTGTTATAGGTTAATATAACTGATAATATTATGATTTTAATGCAAATTGGATCCTGATTAAAGTCAAATCTCCTATTAGCCCATACTGAACATTTGTGATTGGGAAAAGATGCCCCTCTTCAGTGGATGCAATTCCATGTCAGGATACATGGTTTGGTATAGGCTGGGTTTCAGCTCTGGCTAATCTCTTCAGTTGCACACTTGTGTTGTTAGCCCTATATTGAATTAACTTAAAGCTGTTGCATTAGCACTATTATAGATTGTACCCATAACACTCCCAAATCAGCTTAATTTTGCTGTTAGCCAAGAGCAAGTTGGATTAGAGGACAGACTTGCTTATCATCACTTCCTGGGAAACAACTCAAAAATACACAGCATACAGTGTGATATGGAGCAGTAGAGGGGGATGTGATTTAGAAATAGTCTTAGTTTTGTAACCTAAGAACAGCCATTATTAGTCATCTGGACAGGAAATACAGACAACTGAAAATTAACCCTTTTTATTTGCTTTCTCTATCATAATGAACTTTAAGTAAATACAGTTTTTTTATACCTATTTTGTTTCAAATGTATACATGTGGTCCCCCTCCCCCTCATTGGGCTCTTACTTTTGTTATGTAGGTTTTACCTTTGTATTTTTAGGGAGCTAAAGTGTTTTTATTTGTTCAGTGGATAAGTATAGTAGTGATCTTCTACTTGATAAGATTTTTAGAGACCACATTTAGTATTTTGACAGCTGTAGAATAAATATCTTTGTGACATAGGGAATTAATTGCTTTTGCATGTCAATAACAGGTCTGTCTAAATATGATCAGAATTTCATGTAATTTCATCCATTCCTTTTTTTTTTTCCTAAAGAACATTTATTGAATTTTACTATGTTCCAGGCATTGTTCTAGGTTTTTTTTTTTTTTTTTTTTTTTTTAAGAGGCACGTATTATATTTATTTATTTATTTGTTTTGTTTATACATGCACTGGGTACAGTCAGAAACGCGGGAGGGTGAGAGAATTCACCAGAGCCAGAGCGGGGAGCAGAGCAGGCAGAAGGACCGAAGCACACTGCTGAGGGGAGCAGCCGGCGGCAGGAGAGGTCTGCGCGCCATGTGGGACCCTCCTCTGGTGGCTGGGGAGCAGCCGGGGATCGAACCTGTGCCGCAGAGGCCGCGGGCAGCTTCGCAACCCAGCGCTCAACCGCTGCGCCACGGGGAGGCCCCATGTTCTAGGTTTTATAATTCTCAGTCTGGCAATTTTAGAAGGGAAGTATATCATGAAAAAAATGCTCAACAGGGTGCCTCCCTCGTGGCCTAGGGGTTACGTCTCAGCACTATCACTGATCAGGCCTGAGTTTGATCCCTGGCCAGGGAGCTAACTGACGTATTGTGCAGCAGAACTCTCCTATCTCGCCTGCTGTTCCCCTTAGCAGTGTATTTCAGTAAATCTTCCTGTTCTGCTCTCCACTCTGTCTCTGGGGAATCCTCTCACCACCACACCTCTGACCTACACCCAGTTCTTCACAAAAATAAATAAATAGGGCCTCCTGGTGGTGCAAGGGGTAAGATGCAACCTATGAAGCAATCAGCCGCTGCCGCATAAGTTCGATCCCTTGCAGGGAGCTACCCACATAGCTCAGCAGACCTCTCCTGACTCACGCTGTTCCCCTCAGCTGTGTGTTTCAGTCTGCCGCTCTATTTCCCAAGTCTGTTTGGCTGAATCTCTTACCCCGACACCTCTTGCCTGTACCCCAGTTCTTGTATGCATAAATAAATAAAAAAATAAACAAAAAATAAACAGTGTGTGTGGAGGGAGAGGGTGAGGACTGAGTTAAAATACTCAAGCTCTGTTAAGGGACAAAAGCAAGTCAGAAAATTATGTATGATATGATCCCAATATATTTTAAGCTGTCCATAGAAAATCAAAATTTCATGTAAATGGTAATTACCTTTTAGAAGGAGGTGGTGGGATTATGGAGGATTTTTGTCTTATACATTTTTATACTTGTTTTTTTGAAATTTTTATGAGGAGCATATTGTTTTAATCAGAACAATACCTGGAAATGTATAAACATCTAGTCTTTTTTTCTGTGTACTGTTTGGATATAGATAAATATATACTTTTTTTTTACATAACTAGAATCTTACAGTGAATATAGGCATATGCTTGTATTTTTTTATGTTTAACCAACATTTTACTACTCTAAATTATTAATCATTTAGAATGCTTCAAAAATTTCTTGTATGTATATCTTGTTTTTTGTGACCATCTTTACATGTCTGCATGCAGTTCTGATTATTTTGTTAGAATATATTCTTAGGACAATTACTTTTTTTTTTTTAAAGATTTATTTATATAAGTACTGGGTACAGTCAGTACCTCCTCCAGGAGGGTGAAAGAATTTACCAGAAATACACTGCTGAGAGGAGCGGTACAACGAAGTACACTGTTGAGGGAGCAGCAGGGCAGGAGAGGTCTGCGCCCATGTGGGACCCTTGCCCTGTGGCGAGGATCGAACTGGCACTGCAGAGGCTGCGAGCAGCTTCGCAACCCAGGGCTCAACTGCTGCGCATCAGGAAATGACTTATTTTAAATATTATATTTCCTAAGCTTCTTGGGGAATATTTCAAATTACTTCCCAGAAAAATTGTACCAATTCCAGCATATAAGAGTAATCAACTTAATAATTCTGATAATGCATATTATTAGAATTGTTAGTTTTTGGTTTTGTGTTTTGACATATAGGTCTTTGCAAGAAGTGCTGTATCAATACAATTTGGTGTTGATAATGTGAATGAGGAAGGAAGGGTGGTGGTGGTGGTGAGATTCCCTTTATAGTTAATATTCTAAAATAGACTGCGATAACACTTTTCATTTATATATCTATTTTCAGGCAATTCTGTCTTGAACTAAATGGACTTGCTGTTAAACTTCAGGTAATGTTTTCTTTAGTTACAGTGTAAACTTCTGATTTTTTTCCCCCATTTTTTGTAACTTAATGTGTTTTTTAAAGACTATCTAAAATGTGTATTTTCTGCTAGTGTTTGTTGCATGGAAATGTTCCAACCAAATGATGAGCTTTTTTCATTATTACCTTACTTATTAAAAATACTACTTTTTAACAGAGTGAATGCCATCCAGATACATGCACTCAGATGACAGCAACTGAACAATGGATTTTTCTTTTGTGCAGCTCATAAACTCCAAAAGAGGTGAGAATTCACAAATAGAATGACTAATAAAATCATCATAACCTAAATCTTTCCAAGACAATAGTAGACATTTTTAGGGTTTTTAGTTCATTGTTATTTTTGCTATTTGGTTTATAGATACTGCAGCAAGTTTATTTTCATAGTACTATTATTTAGGATTCCTTAGATTAGAGTCATTTTTCATTATTGGGTGGTTGTATGGACTAGAATTTGCTTTACGGTTCACTGACTATCACAAATAACATGTCACCATTGTCCTGATACTTAATGTAGATTGATGAGCTGTTTAAGTTTGTTTATACCTGTTTAAGTTTGATTATACCTGTTTAAGTTTGATTCCCTTACTTCTTTTGATCGGAATAACTGTTGGTGATTACTAGCTGATGTTTTGGTCTTAAGTAGAAATGTTTACTTTTGAGCTTTTAAAGTTTATAGGTGAATATTTTTCTTTACATTTCATTACTATCTTATAAATGCATCATAACGATTTTCCTTTCCATAATTGGTCCAAATTTAAAGTTATTTATTTTTCTCATTATTTAGTATTTAGTTTTTGTTCAGAATAAGTAAATGTATAGAAAGTAGCAAATGTTGGGCCTCTTTGGTGGGATTAAGTCTCAGCACTATGAAGCTATTGGTAGCACTGCAGCATGAGTTCGATCGTCAGTCAGGGCTAATCCACATGGCACAGCAGACCTCTCCTGTCCCACCTGCTGCTCCCCTCAGCTGTGCATTTCAGTCAATCCACCTGTTCTCCCCACTCTGTCTCTGGTGAATCTCTCACACCCTTGACCTCTGGTCTACACCCCAGCTGTTTGTAAATAAATCTTTAAAAAAAAAAGAAAAGAAAAAGAGAGTGGCAAATGTTTTAGAATTTTTTTTTTTTTAAAATAATTCCTTCATATTATCTGGTACCAGTACATACTGAGTTTTTTTTAGTTATCTCAAAAGTTTCCTTTATAACTGTTCAAACTGTGTGTTGCATTTTCTTTTTAATCTGTAGTAATTACTTTCCCTTGCCACTGCTTTGTTGAAAATAATTGGTTATGCCAGTTCTATAGAATTAAGAGACATTCATATTGTGTATATATTGAGTTGGGGATACTATGGCTTAAAGACAAGTGACTCTGGCCACAAAATCAATATTGTTCTTTTGTTTAAAAAGGGTAATTCTCCAAAGTACTCTCAGTTAGTACTTATTTGGAAGGAAGACTTCATTCAGGGTGTTACTTTTTGTGTTAATAAATAGAAGTAATATTAAGATTGTGTATTGTTTTATATCTGGGGAAAAATCCATGTGGCAATTTCATAATTTGCTAAAACTGGCTGTTATGGTATTGTGAATACAATGATAACTGCAACTAGGAAACTGAATTAGGAAGGCTAGTTTCATTTGGGTAAATAGTAAAGATGCTGCATTATTTCACTTGAATTATACCATCTTGCCTGAATCTCTGTGATAGAACCAGACTCCTCTTAGACAGCATGGCTAAAAGAGCAGACATTCCTAAGTTGGACTGCTTGTATTTGAAGAATTTTCTTATCTTTGCAGCATTTTAAGATCTGGGAAGAAGCCATACTCCTGCAAACTGACTATCCTCAGTTCCTTCCTTTTTTTTTTGTTGTAGTTTTGGTTCTTCATTTTATTGGTTAGATTTAGGTATTTGGTTTTTCCCGTCTTTTTCAAAAGGTTTTCTTCTAAGTACTTGTTAGTTTGTCAGACCCAAAAAACTAGGATATCATGCAAAGGACAGTCTGCTTTTTGGATGGGGGTGGAAGGTACCTGTATATTAAATAGGCTAATCTAAGAGGAGCTCTTTGTTGATGCATTTTTTTATCCTTTCTTTTATAGTGTCCTGCTATAGACTATACTAGACCACACTTGATGGTGCTGCATGTTTCTGATAGCAATAAATATTTTCCCAGCAGGTAAACAAAACTCTTAAACAGGTCTTAAAACTTTTAGGATTTAATGTAAGAATATTCTGGTTAATGCTTTATATTCTTTAAACTTTTCTGTTTTTTTAGCTGTTTTATATTTGGCTTGTTCAGAACTTACGCAGGTTTTGAAATTAGGTTAGTTAGATTAAAAGTAACAGAAGTTGGCTCCCAAAGTACACAGGTCAGTTCAGTCAAGTGTAGTGCTGGCTGCTGTTTGCTGTTCTCCAAGCCTCTCCTTTTC